CTTTCTTTCTTTCTTTCTTTCTTTCTTTCTTTCTTTCTTTCTTTCTTTCTTTCTTTCCTCGCATGAAGATGACAGTGGAAAGTGGACAACTTCTTCCCAGAGCAACAAGCAAGATGGATTTACTAATATTGTCACAAGCACTGACTGGGTATTGTTCAGGGCTGTCTTCTGAGCCAAACTGCCACCATCTTTATGAGTTCAGCTCTGCCTGCTTAAAAATGATCAACGTAGTTGGGCTCACTGACAACTGGCCTCTCCTAGGAGGAGGGCTGGGGAGGTCATAAGAATGTACCCAGATACTCCTCCCAACCAGGCTCTTGTAGTTGGCCTCAGGGGGTAGTTAGAAGTATATTATATAGGAGTATATAGTACATTAGAAGTATAGGTTGAGAAAGACTAAGGGAGCTTTATCTATGCCACCATGGGGGAGTGGTTAAGCTGGGTGTAGATCTTCCAGTGTGATTGTTTAAAGCCACCCAATCTTCTGTACATAACTCTCACCCCCGTTACTATTACTAATTGACTCATTGGTTTTCCAGAGTGAACTTCGGTGAAATTATACCTTGGTTTATCATTGTGACATTCAGGAGAGAAATAGATGGTTATATCTCTCCACAGAAGGGATTTTAGCAACACTGAGGGCTGTTATTTTGCTGTTTTTTTTTGGGGGGGGGGTGAGTGGGAGGAATCAGTGAGGAGGTGCCTGAACTCAGAAATGTGTGATGCTTATAGGCTAAGCTAAAACTCCAGAGACTTATATAGGTAAAGGCCCTGGGAATTGGAGACCTGTGGCTCTAGGCCTTAAAAACCATAGACATATATAGGTAGGGATAATTGACCAAACACTGGCCATAGGCTGTAGTTCATGGCCTCAAGAAATAGATGATTATTGTTCCAAACTTCAAAGGTGCAAGCAGCTCTTGAAGTGCAAGTCAGAGGCTTACTGCTCTGAGCTTTGAGTGCCAGTAGCCCTGGAGAATCAGGTTGTGCTGTTCATATAATGGTATGATTTATGAGCCTCAATAAGAAGGATCTCCCACATGCACTACAACACGAATGACATCAGCCAGTTACAAAACCAATACTGAATT